CATCCCTAAAGGAGGGTCTCATTTAATTTGGGTCATTTTGATCTTTGTTGAAGTTTCTTCACTCGGCCTTTTTGTGTTTTTAGAGGAGATCTTAAAAGAGCACCTGAGGGCCTCCCTGGTGGCGCAGCGGTTGAGCGCTGGGTTGCGAAGCTGCCCGGAGCCTCTGTGTTGCCGGTTCGATCCCCGGCTGTTCCCCGGCCACCGGAGGAGGGTCCCACATGGCGCGCAGACCTCTCCTGGCGCCCGCTGCTCCCCTCAGCAGTGTACTTCGGTCCTTCTGCCTGCTCTGCTCCCCGCTCTGGCTCTGGTGAATTCTCTCGCCCTCCCGTGCTTCTGACTGTGCCCAGTGCTTGTATGAATAAATAAATCTTTAAAAAAAAAAAAAAAAAAGAGCACCTGAGGTGGCCGCCTTGGCAGGGCAGGAAAGGGGCTGCAGCCACAGTGGAGAACTTTCCAAGGTGAAGGGGACTCTGTCTAGATCAGGCCTTTGTCCATGATTGTGAGAACAGGAAAACTGGCCTCTGCCCACTGTGTCCTGAGCTGGCCTGTCCGGGTTGGCCCCTGGCGGTCACCTGTGTCCCAGGCTGCGCCTGGCTGGCGTGGAGGACGGCCCCTGAGACCATCCGGCTCAGCAGGGCCCAAGGGAAGTTGCCCAAGGGCAGGAACCCAAGAGGAAAGAATATTTTAAGCAGAAACATGGAACTCTGTAGTGTCAGGCAGTGTGTGTGTTGTGAAGGCCTTCACCCCTCTGCTACCTAATCTCTCCTTCCTTCCATCCTGGGCTTCCAGTGTGTGTGACACAGTAACATGCCTTGCCTGCTGAGTGTGGCACGAGCAGATGCCTGTGTCCCTCTGGTCCTGACCACATCATTCCAGTTACACTGGGATTCAGAGCTCTCCATTTCCTTTCTGCCCTAATTGTCTTGAGCACGAAGAGGAAACACACCCTTTGGGTTTGACTGGAGAAGTAAAACTTTCACCCGAAAATACGGAATGTGGGCCTCAAATTGAGTCCCAGGAATGGGCCTCAGCCCGGCACTGCCCCCTGGTGGGGCGCAGTGGCATAGACAGAACGAGGTTGCTTATGATGCCCAAGCACAGGACCAGCTAGCAGCCTTTGCCTGAGCTCGGCTCAGTGACCTATTCAAAGCGGCTGTTAAGAATCTCTCTTGGGGCCTCCCTGGTGGTGCAAGGGGTTAAGATGAAACCTATGAAGCAATCTGCAGCCACTGCAGCACCAGTTCGATCCCTGGCCAGGGAGAAACCCACATGGCGCAGCAGACCTCTCCTGACTCGCCAGCTGCTCCCCTCAGCAGTGGATTTCGGTCAGTCTGCCTGTTCTGTTCCCCACTCTGTCTCTGGTGAATCCTCTCACCCCCCCCCACAACTCTGGCCTGTACCCCAGCTCCTATATGCATAAATAAATAAATCTTAAAAAAAAAGAATCTCTCTTAAAACTGCACCTCCCATTTAAAAGCTCCTGAGACGACCTCCTCCTCCGCAGAGAAAGTAAACGTGTGAGCAGCGTGAAGCACCGGCTGAAAGTCACTAGCCTTCGGCAGGAGCGGGCAACTCGAGATATTGGGCTTAATAGGAAGGAGGCTTTAGTAACCTCGTTCTCTCTCATTTGATTCTTTCATTGTTGCCATAGTGGATGACATTTAAGAGCCAGAGAAACTGAAACCAGGAGCCAGATAGAAAAAGAGTAACAGATTTGATCTCGTGAAAATCACACCCTATGGTGGAAAACAAGACACCAACAGTTAGAAGACAAATTCAAAAGAAATCTGTGGCAAGGGAAGGCAGCCCAGGAAAGCGGGTGAGGGATTTTGTTAGAGAGAAAAAGGAACCTGGAAGATACTGGTGTCCCAGAGACTATGCAAGGGAGGGGACCGATCACAGGAAGAGGAGGAAAGTCAAGAACTGCGAAGCCTGCGTTGGGTCCGGCCAAGAGCAAACCTCAGTGCTCTGAGAAGCAGTTCCAGGCCGTGGTGAGCTCAGATGTCAGGCTGACGTGAACCAGCATCAGTCAGGTAGCGTGTGTTCTCACAATCTGAGGAGATGTTTTGGTTGAGTTTTGTTTGCTCCCTAGTTTTGCTTCGTTTTGTTTGTTATTTCTTTTTTTAGTGTTGAGTGTTGATAGCTGAGGTCGCCATTTTCCCATCTCACCAGCCCCTCCCTCTTTTCCCTGCCCCAGCACTTGCAACTCCCCTACCCTTCCTTTTTTTTAAAAAAAAAGATTTATTTATTGGGCCTCCCTGGTGGCGCAGGCGGGTGAGTGCCGTACTGAGAAGCTGTTCACAGCCTCTGCTGTGTGGGTTCCATCCCGGCTGGCCGGCTAGTGTCCCACATGGCGCAGCAGACCTCTCCTGTCTCCCCGCTGCTCCCCTCAGCCATGTATTTCGGTCAGTCTGCCTGTTCTGTTCCCTGCTCTGTCTCCGGTGAATCCTCTCACCCTCCCACACATTTGGCCTGTACCCTGTACCCTTTAAAAAAAAGAGATTTATTTATTTATGCATACAAGAACTGGGGCACAGGCCAGAGGTGCTGGGGGTGTGAGGATTCACCAGAGACAGAGTGGGGAGCAGAACAGACAGATTGACTGAAATACAAGGCTGAGGGGAGCAGCAGGAAGACAGGCGAGGTCTGCTGCGCCATCTGGGTAGCTCCCCGGCTGGGGATCGAACTCATGCTGCAGTGACTGCGGATAGCTTCATAGGTTGTCTTCACTTCCTGAGCCACCAGGGAGGCCCCCCTTCTTTTTTTTATTGCCTACGCCACCATCATATGGTTACAGTCTATCTCCCTCATCAATATAAATAGCCCTGTAGACCAGGATATTTGCTTTGCATCGGTGCATTTGCTGCTGTACCCTTAATGCCTAAAGTAGCACATAGTAGGTGGTCAATATTTATGAAATAAGTGAATTCAGTAAACTGATTTTAGGTCTCAGAAGATCATCTCCAGCCCGGCCCTAACAAGGTGGCATCAGTCTAACTGGCTCTTGGCCCTGGGAATATTGTAAAAAAGGTGCAGGACTGAGGGCCTCGGAGTTCGGCCTCGCTGTGAAGGGTGAGGGCAGGTGGTAGCCTTGAAGCGGGCGCTCGGCCGTCTGCGCCAGGGGTGGGGGGCTTGTAAGGGTGGGAGTCCGGGTAAGGAAGCTCCGGCCATCTATAAAATGTGCCTCTGTGCCGTCTATAAAATGCCTCGGTCTGGAGCCCTGTGCTTTCCTTATAAATAATTAGACTACCCGGAACACTTCGAACAGAAGGCACAGGGGCCTAAATCATGTAAGAGAGTCATTTTAAGATGTGAATCGCTTTGTCCTCACCACGCCAACTGCTCTTCTTTACAGGCCAGCAGTGGATGCCGTAGCCCGGAGCGTGTCAGGAGGGGTGGGGCATATGGGGCCAGGGAGCCTTAACCAGCTGCCCAGCGCGTGCGTCACTGTCACATCGAGACCTAAGGGCCCTGCTTTAGGTCCACAGACCGCGCCTCGCGGAGGCCACGGCTGACACGGGACAGCTGAGCAGCACACAGGGACAGGCAGGAGGCTGTGACCAGAGCATGTGGGGGAGCCCCCCCCAAACCCCAGCCACCCAGGTCCCGTGGTCCACACTGAAGGAGAGGATGCGTCTCCTCAGCACCTGTGCCTCCGTGTGGCACATCCACGTAGCCCAGCCCCTCGCGCGCACAACCAGAAGTCACGCTGATGGGGTGTGTGGTAGGACCTGTGGTTCCTCTGGTTCAGCCACTTCCCGGCCTCCAGACTTCACGTGGGTCTCCCCGACCCTGTGGATTTCTCTCGAGTCTCCCGAGCGAGAGCTCCGAGGCCAGTACCGCACACGGCTGTCAGGGGCCGAGCACACCATTAACGATGCTTGACGACGGGTCTCGGGTGATGTCCTTTATTTAATGTCACTGCAGCGTAGCACCGACGAGGAGAACAGCAGCCCGGCGAGGGCTGAGAAAACGTGACTGAAGGATGTGCTTCCTCTGGCTGTTGCTCTTCAAGTTGCAGATTCCAAGAAGCCATCCACCACCTTCAGCGAGACCCACCGATGCTGCATGAAGCTGTCATGGCATAGCTAGGCTGAAAGCAGCCCCTCAGAGAAGAGAGAAAATCTCGATAAGCTGAAATCAAAGAGGAAAACCCACAGAGAGGCGGTGGAAGGCGTCACACAGCCGCGGGAACATAGGCGGGACACAAATCTTTTCCAAGAGAATGCACTTTGAAAACGCAGAGGAAGAACGAGTTGACAAATCTCTTTGTCTTAGAAACTTAGCTGGAATAACCAGCTCAAAGGCTCAGGGTCCTCTGTGTGCAGCCTGTGGAATCCAAGTGCCCCACACCTGCAGAAGGCAGAATAATGCAGCTGTGTGATGAGAGGTGCTCAGACGGGCTTGAGCAAATGAGATGTTTCCACAGCAGACACTGTGCCTTCTGCTGATGCAGTATCCAGGCCCCTTCTCCCTGCTAATGGAAGGTTCTGGGTCCTGTTTTTCTGGGGCTATGAATTTAAACACATGCTTAGTCCTTCCAAAACCCATCTTGATTTTGGTGAGGTAGAGTGGGTGAATGTCAGATTTCACAGTTATTTTTTGAAGCATTTTTTTCAGTGACATTAAAGATAGAAACACATGCCGGAATAACATGTAGCAATCTAGAGTCCAGTTGAGTAAATGACTAGTTACTCGATTAAATATACACGTGTCACCACGATGCGCCAGTAAGAATTAAAAAGGGATGTCCAAGCTTTCATGGCTTATGTTAAAGAAGATAATTAGATAAGTGATGAAAATTCTCTTCTTTCTTGTCAATACACCTATTCATGCACACATCACTACCTATTCCATTTCTTATCTCAAAATATTTGCCCATAAAAACGTGTTTACGTAGTTAAATGGTTGCCTAATATAATTTCCTTTGTAAAGTTGTCAAAAGAATAATGTATTGCCCTAGGCAGGAACTCAAACACAGATAAAAGTCACATCTGAGTATCTGATGTATTTTATTGGTTCACATTTATCCTATTTGAGGTTAACACTACTTCATTTGACAGCTTAAAAATCATTCTGTAAACAAAATTAAAAAAAAAAAAGGCAGCAACTGCTAAAATAAGGACACATGGATAAGAAAGTAAAGGGATGTCTTAAAAGGAATATTCTGAAAAAGCAAAGAAAATGTGACCATGATTACAAATTCAAGAAAAGGACAAAAAAACCCTCCAACATCTGTAAAAGACAAAATGAAAATAGTAATTTTTAAAAAAGCAAGAATTCAAAGTGCAGGTGCGCTAGTTTCCGTTCCACATCCATTCGGGAAGCAGAGAGAACAGACTACTCTTTCATATAAAGTGACAGGTTCTGCTTAAAACACCCAGTTATCTTGCAGGCTTTTTTTTTTCCCAGTTTACACAATCTCTACATTGATTTAGCGGGAAAGATGTTCAGATGTGTGATACATGGTATGATTTCGTGACTCTACAGAAAGTATGGAAATGGTAAAGTTTATTTTTTTATTTTTTGCTTTATTTGCAGTAACAAGAAGCTGAAAATCCTTATCAGAAGCATCAGTACTTTTACTCTTTCAAAAAAAAAAAAAAAATCCCGAGCCTCCTTATCACCTTTGTCACCACGTTGAGATTGTGATAAAACAGAGTTTCCACTGAATTCTGGCAGCTGATATAAATCATCAGAACAGTTTTTAATGCAAAATGGGTCTGGCCTTTGTCCGAATTGGTCAGGAGAAGTGTGGTTCTGGCATCACATAAAAATCACCCCATTCTCATAATTGTTTAGGACTCTGACATCTCCCCTTGAAGGGGATTATTTGTTCAGTGATTTCTGAATAGAGGAATTTATGAAATATTTTTCAAATCTTAAAAAAAAATATTTTCATGCTCCTTAAAGTGGTGCAGGATTTACCCCAGCGAGGAGGCCGTTCCCATTTAGGAACATTCCCGGGCTTGTGGCATCCCATCTCCCTACAGCTCTAATTGTATTGAAAAAGCCCCAACCCACCAGGCCGCGGCCCTCCAGAGCGGTAGCACTATTTTTTAAACCATGTATAAGCTCAACAGCAAGCTTTAGGAGTTATGATACACACATATCACGGACGGAGTCATCTGTTTCTGGAGTCACGGAATAAACTGTATTCTGGAGGACCCTCTCCCCAACAAGTGAACTGTACCTAGACGGAGGTGTTTAAATGTTTCTCCAACAGTTTTCATTGTATTATATTATGAAAACACTGGGCTTCAAGCCGGATACTAATAAATATTTAATTTAAAAGAAAGACCCCCCCCCAACAACATAAAAAAGGCCCCCCCACCTCCCCGCTCCCCGAAGGCGCTAGCTCAGCCCGACAGGGCAGAGATCTCGTAGTCACTGGCGGAGGTCAGGGGCTTGCCCATCATCCGGATGTTTTTCGCGCTGGTGATGCGGGCCATCATGCACACCGGCTTGTCGAAGTACTTGACCAGGGCGGGCTCGGTCAGGAGGGAGGCCAGGAACTGCTCGAAGGTGATGGCCCAGTCCCGGTCCAGGCTGGTGCTGCGGGGCAGCGCCGCGGTGCCCTGGCCGCTGCGCACCAGGACCGTGTCCTCTCCGATGTCCTCGCACTGCAGCTTGTCCTCCTCGTGGGAGCCGGCGCTCAGCACCGAGTAGGAGGACATGGAGCTGTCGTCCTTGGTGTCGTCGTCGGAAATCAGCATGGAGGAGCAGGCCCCGTTGTCTCGGGGCGAGGAGTCCTCGAGCTTAATGTCCTCCATCTGTCCCCCGAGGGATGGCTCCTCACCCTCGCCTGCCAGAGTGGCCGCCAGGGGCTCCACGGGCTCCACCGTGTAGGGCTGGCCCGGGCCCTTCTTGGGGAAGAAGACTCCCGGGAGGGCCTGGTGGCAGGTCGGCCCGCCGCTCTCCTTGGCCAGCTGCGGAGCGAAGAGCTTGCCCACCTCCCCGATCTCCAGCAGGAGGCTGGTCACCGCGGCTGTGGCGTGGTACAGCTCCTGCTCGTTGGGGTCCTCGCTGAACATGTTATACATGGTCTTGCACAGTTCGATAAACTGCCCCTGAGAACACAAAGAACGTGACCTTGGCTGGGGAGCACAGAGGTGAGAGGAGCCGACTTTCAATTGGACTTTATCCAATGAAGGGGACCCTTGTAAGCTGTTGGTGGAAATGTGCAAAGCTGTACAGAGATTCCTCAGTAAGTTAAAAGTGAAAATTCCGAAAGATCCAGTTATTCCATTTTTGGGTATTTAACCAAATAATACAAACACGCTAATTTGAAGAGATATGCACCCCCATTTTCATCACCGCATCATTTACAGTAGCCAAGAACTGTAGACAACCTAAGAGCTCATGGACAGAGGAGGGGACAGGGAAGATGTGGTATGTATATACTGTGGAATACGACTCAGCCATGAAAAAAGACGAATTCGTGACATTTTCAGCAACATGGATGGGCCTGGAGGGATTATGTTTAGTAACAGAAGCCAGGCAGAAAACACCACCTGATGTCACTCCTAGGAGCTACACAGAGAAAACTAAGAGATGAACTAAATGAAACAACAATAAACATTTGGGCTACATGAACTATTACTGGTTACCAGAATTGGGCGCTGGGGGAATGGTGGGTGTGGGTAAACTGGGAAAAAGTGAGTAATGATATGGTGAAGGATAGATTGGAACTTTTAACTGAACTTAATGGTGATTCTCAATGATCACCTGTAACATACAATGTTATACTGCATGTTAATTCCATTAAAACCCAAATACTAGGATTCCTAAAAGATCTCCAATGTAGGTTGGATTAATGTGATTTTTTATAAGTCTCTTATTGAGGTTTCCAGTCTTTTATTTTGAAATTTTTCTAAGATTCATGAAAGTAGAAAGAATGAAATCTTTGTGTACCCATCATTTCGAATCAAAACTGTGCCTTCATTCACTGTTTTATCCTTTGTTGAGTAATTCATCCTTTGCATTTTCTTTGAGGAGGCCAATTCCTTACAATTAAACACATTTTGATGCACAAAAACATGCGTAAAATAGATCCAAGCAGATCAGTTACCATTCTCTACGAAGTACTCACTCTCCATTTATCTGTCACTGCAAAACAGACCTTCAAGGTTTGAAATGAAGGAACTGGACTATTCAGCACTTACCTGATTCAATTTGGGTAAATCCTTTGCATTCTTTGATTTAGATTTATTTTCTGGGGTCCAGAGCCTCAGATAATTGCGATTCTCTTGAGAATTTGTCCTCTTCCCTAAAACCCAAATGTCAAGAATTAAGTGTTCACAGGTCAAAAAAGAAGCGTGGAGCTAGTAGGGAGGCGAACAGAGAGAGCAGCAAAGCTGTACCTCTGTCTGGCTTCAGGCTGACAGTGACAAAGCCATCATCTGCCCCGTGCTTGCTCCTGCTGTCCAGTCCAACCACTGCCAGAAACATCCAGAAGAAAAAGTAAGATGTTATATAACATTCCCAGAGATTTAGCACTGAGAGGCAGAAAAGCTGCCTCTGTGTCACGATGCCTCATATAACCTAACACGCTGAAGCCAAGACCCCAGCACACCGAGTTAAATTTGAATTTGAGATAAACAAGTAACTTCTTTTAAACTATACATGTGTCCCAAATATTGCATGGGATATACTTTTGCCAAGAAAATAATTTCTGAAATCAAATTTTACTGGTTGTCCCTACTTTATCTGACAATCCTATCTCTAGGGGAAACACTCCCCCAGAATTCTGTTCCATGAGTGGGGCTCAGACTATAGTTAGGAACTTAAGGGAAGATGTCACAAGGGCTGGCCCCATGCTGATTTCCCTCCCTTCTCTGCTGTTTCTTCCTCTTAAGCTTGACACATGCAGCTATTCTCCCGCCAGGTAAGCACCGATGTGATGTGAATGGCATGAGGTGAGTCACGTACCATGTGTGCATTCTGGGGTAATGTCTTCAAAGAAGTACTGAGTTGCTTCAAAGGCAGAATCTGGCTCATCTTGGTCAGAGGATGGCTCTAGAGAGAGGAGGGAAGGTCACCCCACGTGGCCAGGCCCAAGACGCCATGACAGCACACATTCGAGGAGACCGTGCTGACAGAGGAGCAGTGGCTGCAGTCGCTCAGGCAGGAGGGGGTGCGTCCTTGCGGCTGTGCATGCCTCCTTTGTCCAGAACCTGACAGGTTCACCCCATTTCTGACCTCACCTTCCTTTTAATGCCCCCCGCCCCGGTATTCCTTCACAACTTCCTTTTTGGGGATATTCCTCAATTCTGTGGAACGATGAGGCAAATTTTAGGAAATTGTATGCTGTGAAGATTTTTTCCATTCATCCACCCACCTCCCATCCATCCACCATCATCTACCCATCTATCTAGGTTTACCCTATCTCTGTTTTTCTTTTTTTTCTTTTTTTTTGCATTTGTTAGATAGATCCTAGCTGGGAGGTCACCTTTGTTTAAAATTGAACTTAAACCTGACCATCTTCCCCACTTGCTTCTGTTGGTAGTAAAACCGTCCCCCAAGACTCAGAAGTTCAGTCTGCTACACCCTCTCCCCCCTCAACCTTTGCACCCCTCAACCCTTATACCCGTCCAGCTGCCAATGCTACTGAGGGTTTCTCCTGCAAACCTGCCTTTTCCATCCTACATCTCCCATCTGGCCCAGGCTGATCCCCACAGAACCAGGCATGTGCCCACCCAGGAATGACGTGAACAGTCTTGTTCAGTTTGTTCTTTGTGGCCAGTGAAGGATTTTGTAAACCAGAGGAATGCGGGTCACACCAAAGGAAGGCGTTTCAGGCCTGGTCATGCTGCAGGCACACAGGCTACCTTCGTGGCTCACTTACCAGGCAAGACGTGCATTTTGTACAGGAGTTTGAGTTTCTCTGTGAGGTCCCCATGGCAGGCAGCACCTGGAAACAGGTAAGCACCAATGTGAATGTATCCTGTGTGCAGTAACACTTCCTGAGAAGCCTCCCCTCACTAACCACCACTAAGACACTGCCAACAGGGTGAACAGTCACTGGTGACAATCACCAGTCCTTTGGGGCAGGCACTGTGCCGGTGAATGAGCTCATTTGGTCTTGGCAATAACTGCCTTGCAAATGGTGGACCAATCCCAGAGGGTAAATCCCAGGCCCCAAGTACTAGGGCGCCCCCAGGTGAAACTGGGCTGGGGACCATCCCGCTGTGGTGGGGGCACTGTCCCCCCATCACATCTTCCATACCCGTGCACTGGTCACCTGTCAAGTGACCAGCTGCTTCCTGGCGTCTGGACATGTTTGGAGAACCTGCCTCCAGCAACATGGTTGCAAAAAGAGAGACAGCTAGGGTGGCTTCTGCTAGCCATAGCTCATTTCTAATTCTACAGAGATCATCTATTCACCAGATTCCAGAGGGATCTTCCTGGGATTGACCTTAAAATCACAGACCCATATTTTCCAAAATTCACGTTTTAGTTTGTAGAACTTGATTAGAACATCTCTCTGGTCTCCTGGTCCATCCACATAACTTAAAGAGTTATGGCCCAAGGGCTGGACCAGCTCTGGAGTCCCCCAGGGACCTGGGTGATGACAGTTCCTTGCTCAGGAACTCAGCTGCATTTTAAGACGCTCAAGTACTCTTCCTCCCTTGCCTCCCTTCCTTTTGAATATCTGGAAGAGTATTTTTCTTGTTGGAGCAGATGGAACTGAATGAAATATATTTATCCCTGTCACTATCTATATGCAGAATGCATCCTTTTTCTTCCTCTTTATTTTCGTGTGAGTTGTGAGATGTGGATGAGAGGTATGGGTGTGGGTGTGAAGTGTGGGTGTGAGGTGTGGGTGTGAGGTATGAGGTGCAGGAATGAGGTGTGGGTGATGCGGTGGGCTCTGCTTTCATGATGGATGCTTCTTTCTCTTGCACAATGCAGAGAAAGGACTTTCATTTAGACTGAAGAAATGTAAGTTTTCTCTACTTTTTAGTTAAATACTATTAAATGTTTCTATAAAATATATTTTTAACTACAGCTGAGGACTGTCTAATGGAGAGGGGAAGATCTAATCATAACAAAGGTCCAGTCACTCTAAACACATTTTACAATCCATTTGCAAATGTTAACATGTACCCCTCTGCCCAGAACCCCAGCATTGGAGCCCTATGTGCAGCCCTCAGGCAGGGAGGGAGGTGGACAGGTGTGGGGGGTGTTACTGCCCCATCTTCCCCTTCAAACTCATGCAATAACATCATGTCCTTACTTAGCCCTGAGACAAACTCTCGGAAGTTAATCAGAGAGTCTCCATTTTCATCCAAGAGCTGGAACAGGCGGGATGCCAGCACGTCCGAGTGGGCGCCGCACGCCCAGGGGAAGAGCAAAGCGAACATGCCCTTGAACTGGTCAAAGTCGATGCGGTACTGCTCCAGGTAGGGCAGGCTGGGGTCGTGCCGGTCCAGCGCGTTGCTGCTCCCGCCCCAGTAGCAGCTGGTCAGATGCTCTGCCTGCAAATCAGAGGAGCAGGACGGTCACCGGGGACTCATGTCCCGGCAAATCCCAAGAAGAACAGGCTGGCCCCACATGCTCAAGCTGAGAGACGACCCAATGAGGGAGCGCGCCAAGGCATGAAAAGCATCTTGCAAAACTTTTTTGTTCTCAATTACACACTTGCCTACGATGCTGATACTGACAATCATTACAAAAATATTTTTTTCTAGGAGAACCTACAATGTTTTGTTTACTAACACGGTATTTCTTATTTAGGATAAGATTGGTATAGGCAGAATTATGAAGTGGAAATCACAGAAATCTAACCAATTAGGTTTTTCCTTAGACATTTGAACAGCTTTATTCTTATTCTAACTACATATCTCCTTTTAAGGCTGTGTTGCAGCTTAACACAGGCAATTACAATTTGCCAGAGTTTCAGGCAGAATTTAAACTTGATTGACATCATTCTGATGTGTATTATAAAGTCACGTTTTCCAGGAAAACAGCTAAAAATACGATATGGAGTAGAAGAGACTTAGGACGTCAACTCCAGTGACCTATGATCATGTTTATTTTTCATATTACACACCCACTGGTGTGCCCAGCCCCATCTTCCCATTATGTGTGCTGAAGTAAGTGTGATCCCTTACCAACCAACCAGACACAAAAATTGGATTATTAACCTGAACTCACTCCTGAATCTATACAAATCTACTTCAAAACTCACCTTAAAAAGAGCATAGAGTTCTTCTAACTCATCGATGGAAAAGGAAGTTTCTGTCACAATGGTTCGTACCTACAGAGAGACAAACACGATGAAGTTCACAGACTCAAAGGTCCCTATCACGAAAGTTCCTGATTTTCTTCTTTTAAATCTTCGGTCTGTCCAGCAGGAGTTGGGATGGGCGTGAGGAAGGAGGAGGGACCCGGTGCCACTTCTTGGACTCACCACGTTGCGCTTCGTGGTGTCCTCCAGGCTCTGGATCACCTTCAGCCTCTGCTTGAACCGCATCTGCTCGATCAGATCTGCCCGGATAGTTCCAAACTTCTGGAAAGGAGCAACACCGGCTTATCTGAGAAGGCTGCTATTGCACCCAGGGATGTGTCCATAGGATTGACAGAGACACAATCCAGACATGAGGAGCTTCCTGTCACAGGAGCAGACGTCCTACAATCGCCTTTGTTCCCACAGGAACTTTATGTAAAGCCATTTAACAACCGTAAGTAACAGGAAATTCTCATGTTTGCTGGTGGCTGAACTGCACTCAAAGTCATCCATGAGTCTCCCTCAAATCAATAGTTCATGGGGAGAAGAAATGTTACCTAAGGCTTTAAAGGCCATTTGGGTACGGAAGAACAGTGCCGTTATGGAAGAATTTTCTAAAAGGAAGTATCATAGGCTAACGATTAGACGGGGAGGTTGGGGGAACACTGGTGTGAGGCTCCCCGCCTTGGTCTCTGGCTCCATAGCATCTGTGCTGGTCAAGAACCCACGCTGTGTGTCTCCGAATGGCAGACCTGTGGGCTGGGATCTGTTCACACGCCAACATGACTAGTGCTGCCTGAATGTCTGTTCAGCTGAATTCGGAAAGACAAAGGAATCTTCCAGTCTGAAGGTAGAACAAGAATATGGAAGAGTTTACATATCTTGGTGATGCAGGAGCAAAATGAATAAATTCTGCTCAAAGCATGAGACTTAAACCTGTAAGAGTAATGATGCAATGGAAAGTTCACTTAAGGGGTAAAGGAAGAGTTGGTGGACAGAGTCAAGTGTTGGAAAGGGTATGGTACAACCAGACTCTCACATGCCGCTGCTCAAAATATCCTGTGGTCAGCCATCTTGGAAAGCTGTCTGGCAGTATCTAGTACATCTGAACAGATACATACCTATTACCCAGATATTCCTCTCCTAAGGTATGCCTCAAAGAAAAGTGTGCATATTTTTATTTATTTTTTTAAAGATTTATTTATTTATACAAGAACTGGGGCACAGTCAGAGGCACAGAAGGGTAAGAGAATTCACCAGAGACAGAGTGGGGAGCAGAACAGGCAGACAGACCAAAGTACACTGCTGAGGGGAGCAGTGGGTGAGACAGAAGAGGTCTGCCATGCCATGTGGGCATCTCCCTGGCCGGCTGGGAATCGAACTGGCACTGCAGAGGCTGTGGACAGCTTCACAGCACTGCGCTCAACCCGCTGTGCCACTGGGGAGGCCCGTGTATATTTTTAAAGAAAGACATATGCAAGGATATTCACAGTGACACCATGAGCCCAAAACAAGAGCCCACTCAAATGTTCCTACACTGTAGGTGAATAAATGGTGACCTTATCCCACAGGAATTTATTATGCAGCAATAAAAGTGAACAACATGGAGAAATCTCGTAATCACAACACCGAGCAAAATAAGCCAGAACTGGATAGCGCATCCTGTATAATTCCACTTTTATGAAGTTCAAAAACAGGTGAAATAAGTTGATGGCGTTAACATTCAGGAGACAGGGGCAGAGAGGACGCATCACACGGGCCCGAGCCCCGGCGCCCCCTCTGCCTGGGGTGCTTTTCTCTTCCCTCAGACCCCCTGTGTTGGCGCCTGTGGGCCGCTTGTATCTGTTACCTGTTGCTCTACAGCAACGTAAACCTTCAGAGCCGGGGAGGGGCAGAACAGCTCCTGGCCACCCTCTCTTGCTGTTTCCTTCTTACTTGAATTTACTGTTACCTTTCCTTTGGTTTTTACTTATCATCACCCATTACCCCCTATGAGGGCAGAGACACTGCCCACATGCTGAGGACTGTGCTGATTCATGCTAAGTGCAGATGTTTGCCAGGCACACAGAATCCCCACAGTAACCCAGGAGGTAAGTGCTCCTCTCATCTCACTTCAGGGATGAGGCAATAGAAATTTCACAGAATCACTGACTTGTCCAAGTGCACAGAGGCGGTGGTGGCAAAAGCGGGGTGCTGAGTTAGAGCCTGCAGAAGGAGTCGCACGCCTGGGAGGTGCCCAGCAGCTGGGCTCTGACCTCCAGCAGGACACACAGTCTGCATTTTTTTTTTTTGAGGGATGAATAAATGCTTTAAAAATTAAAACAGGAAATCCAAGCTGTAGATTAGCAAAAGCTATCATGCCCCAATGCCTTTTCTTTCAAGGACACAAGAAGAAAGTGTTTATAAGTAAAATAATGTGGTGTTAAGGATTTTATTTAAAATATTTCAGAAAAAAAAGGTAGATGAAATAGAGATCATGAAAATGCTGCTCACTGTTGGGACTGGGTGTTGAGTGACTAGAAATACATTACATCATCTTTCTGACTTGCACAGTGCTTGAAATTATCTATACGTTAAAAAGAAAGAAAAACACGTCAAGTGCTGATTGCATCCCCAGGGCCAAGTGTGAGGTCTGGCGGAGACAGACACGCATCGCATCTTAAAGACTTTCTGAACAAGTGAACAGAGGCTGTTTCTTGGGCCTTCCCCACCGGCACCACCCCGCAGCTCTCCACGAGACTTCTGCCCCCACGGCCATCTACTGCGCGGGAGCTGAAATAATGCAGTGAAGGAAAATCCTCCACTTGCATTGGCTGCTGGGAGCCTTGCCGAGTGATGGGTGGTCTCGAGGCGGCCACCTCCCGGCCTCCACTGGGTCAACTGACCTCGTGCACATGTCCACCTACCCTCCTGTCTCCACGCGACCCAGACAAGCTCAGGTGCTGGCTTTATCACTAGGAGATCTTATTTGCACCCTAACTCTCACTTTCAAGCTGCATGGTTTGAAACAACTAGTTGCTTCACCTCTTTTCGCTTATGTTTTCACCCTCATGTGGGTCCACAGTTACCTGGTGGCAAAGCCCACAACACCCTCCCCACCCGGGGGCGCACCCAATGAGAAGAAGTGGCTGCAGCGTCCTGCAAGGCCTGCGCCCTCTGGGAGGCCACCTCGTTCCAGGAGTCTGACCTGAAGGCGACTCTGGCCTCTATGTCTGCGGCACCGCAGTCTCACATTTAGGAGCCACACCTAGAAAATTGGCTACACTGCGCCCTTCAGCAGGGACTTGAGAGCAATTACAAGGCACAAAATTTCCCCATGCAGCATTTATGAATGAAGATGTCATTTCTACTCCCCAGGCACAATCTGAACAATGCTAGGGAGCCCGTCGTGACCATATCGCAGAGCTAAATGTGCTTTCAGTCTTTTCCTACTTTTCTAGTTTCCTGGCTAATTATCTTAAGGCACAGGAGGAAACACACTGCCTGCTTCAGGATGCGGGTGTCACCCTCAGCCTGAGCCAGGCCGCTGTCAGCATCTGCAGAGGCTGACCCCATTATGCATCTAGGGCAGCGATTCTGAGTCCACCGGGTACCAGGATCACCTGGGGAACGTCAGAAAAATACTTGTTCTTGGGCCTCCCGCCAGAGGTTCAGATTAAATTGGTTTGGAATCGAGCCTAGGAATTTCTATTTCTAAAGGATTAGCTTTAAGAATTTTTTTTAAGTGATTTTAATGCACAGGCAGAATTGAGAACCACCAAGCAACTGGCTAGGAGGGGAGAAGACAGGCAGGCAGGACCTCCTACCTTTAGGCCGACCCGAGGCACTGGGCAGCTGCTGGACACTCAGGCGCAAGATAGCGACACTGCGCAGAGAAAGACGATAAAACAGTGGCACGGCAAGGCCAGTGATGATGCAGCAGGGGCCTAAGAAAAAGGTGCTGTCTTCCCACACACAGGAAGGAAACTGCTGCCGTGTCCAGTGATAGAATATTTGGCAGTCTAGGGCCCCCCGCTAGGGGTCAGCCGGACAGGACGCAGGTGGGGACCAGCCTTGGTCTGTCTCATTCTCTTCTTTTCCCCATTAAAAGTGGGCCAAGACCTGACCTCAGCACGCTGGTGGCCTATAAGCTGTCAAGGTCAAGCTCACTGTCCCAGGCGAAGCTGTATTACTTGGTCCAGAATTCTCTTAACAATAGGGGTTTCAGGGGGGTGCCTTTAGAAAAACAACAGTGGCAATGAGAACTACCGCCTTCAACAACATGAGTGCTTTTTTGTGGAGAAATCATCATCCAAAATTGCTGACAAAGTAGTATCTACAAGTCCCGAGGCCACAATTTTTTTTTTTTAAATGCATTATGATAACCATTTTCCAGACTGGAGTGAAGCAGCTCCCCTGAATCTCCACTACTGGAAATATAAACTGGGACAATCTTTATGGAAATTGCCTCGTGTGTGCTAGGAGCTTGGAATTAATTCATCCTTTGACCTATTGCTGTAAATCAATCCTAAGAAGGGCTCCGAGAGAATCATCAGAGATGCGAGTGTGTACAAGCTTATCATGTAACAGCGCGATATTGTGTATCTCACGTATGTAAAGTAAGTCTGCCGCAAAATCCTGAAAATTTGAAAGCAAACAAAACAAACACCCAACAAAAGGAGACCAGTTACATAAATTTTGATACTCATTAAAGAAGAATATTAAGAATCTATTAAAATCATGTCTTCAAACTATGTAATATATCAGAGAATGCTTGGGGTATATTTTAAGTAAAAATGGAATGTTACAAAGCACTTTTACAGTGGGAACTTTCTAACTACATAGCGCCAATATGAAAGCATACTTGAGGGAAATATGGTGAACTGTTCATAGGATACAATTTGCTTTTTCTTTGTATTTTTTCCCTTTCTACATTTTCAATAATAAACATTTTTAGTGTTTTGTGATTCCAAAACACTAAAAATGTTTGGTCCTCAGTATACACGGAGCAACAGCCAATTACCAGTCTTTCTGCCTTTACAAGCTCAGGACACACATTCCTGCAAAGGTTTCTGGATCCGAACCATTTTTTACAAAACACCAAAATTTTGGTTCCAAGAGTGACTTTTTGACCTCAGCCACCCCCCCAACCCCTCCCCATCCCCCCACCCCCGCCCTTATCCAGGCTGCTGCTAGCTGGGACGCTGACATCACCAGTCATCCCATCCCACCAGATCTGGGCTGGGATCCCACCCGATCTGGGCTGGGCAGCGCATGTCCCAGCTGGGTACCCATACATCTGCCTTTCCCGCCACGATCATGTCTGTAAAAGTTTGCAGAGCCAAGGACCAGGAAATGAAGAAATGGAGACGTTCTGGGGGCCCCAGAAACCACACATGCTATGGGTCCACAGCATCTAGTTCTGGTTTGGGGTTCGGCAGCCAGCACTTTATGAGGACTCCGGGACACTGGCTTTCCTCGAGTGCAGTAGAGGGGAACCCCGGGTCTTGGACAGAAGAGGACTGGCTGGTCTACTTTAGAGGGACCTGAGGACTGGGCGTGGGAACAGGAAGAGGATGGATTCCCCAGGCCTGCTCTCAAGAGCCCCTCCTTTACCCCAGAGTTGAACCTGAGCTTCTACTCAATCAGGCTACAGAGTGAGCACAGCCAAGGACCAGCGGCCAGCGTTTGCCTGCCATCCGTGCGGTGGCCCGAGCCTCATTCAGTGTCCAGCTCTGGAGCCCGCAGCTGCTCGTCTCGGCCACCAGTCCTCAGGGGGAGGAGGAAGCAGACGCACCTATAGGTTGGCCTTGGCAGCGTGTGGACACGGCCGCTGGCCCTTCATTCACGCCTGGACTGCCCTCATGCTCAGCCAGGAAGTAGCACCTACCTCGTAGGAGGTTCTGATGAGCCTGAAGATGTCCACCTCGGGGTAGGGCTCCACGTCGTCGCTGAGCAGGGAGTGCAGGTGGGGGATGGGCGGCAGCGTGCTGTCTTTGTTGGTCACACTGTCCAGGTACCTGGAGACCAGGGCATGGACCACAAGTCACCGGAGGCGAGTCTGGCGCCCTCCCCTTACAGCCTCCACCCAGCTCCTGCAAGCTCGGCGCCTTACAGCCAAAGACAAGAATCTCCTTCAGCTCGGAATGAAAATCCTTCAACCTCTAAAGATACGGCCCATGAAAATAAATCTTCAGGCTCGAGAGAATCGGGCATCATCATCCCCGTCAGCCCACTAAGACTCACAAACCCAAGGGGAAGGTGGGTGTGAGCACACAGGAAGACCCCAAAACACTTTCAGAGTGAGGCTGCACCCCACCTTCCCAGGACGGTCATGGCCTCTCCATCATCCTTGCAGTTCAGCAGCTTGTCCACGTTGGCATCCAGCACGGCCAGAGCCAGCTGGAAGATCACTTTGATTCCTTCATAGAAGAAACAGTCGACGACCACGACTGCGCTCTCGAAGGGCATCACGCTGAGGAACAGGGTGAGGAACCAGGACAGGGAGATGGTGGAGATCACGCCCAGGTCCTGCATGCAGTCGTACAGCTGCGGGACGTAGTCTCGCGCCAGCTCCTCGAAGACGCCCTGGTCCACCAGCGCACCTGCGGCACACCAGGGACATCAGCTGGTTCCGCCTGCCCACGACCCAGGCCGGCCTGGCCCCGCCCCCCAGTTCCTCCAGTTTCCCCAGTTCCCGGCTGGCCCAGGCGAGCGGCCGCCAGATATGCTCGGAGTGTGTGTCTCAGCAGCTCCCTTTCTTGCAAACTCTTATTTTAAAAAATCGATCTTCTGGATACATGGTCTCCACGTGCAAATGGTTTTTTTTTTTTTTTTAAATAACTGTTTTATGAACTTAGAAGCATGTCAGCTGTACAGGTGTGATCACCTTACTGAAATTTCTGGAGACTATTGCCAGTGAATCCAAGTAGTGTACCAAGGTTTAGAAATAAAGACAATGTAAGAGGAAGGCAGAAAGTGCACCTTTTACTACACTGGCAATGAAAAGCTTGTCCTGCTGAAACGATGATCTGATTTAACATTTGAGGGATTGCAAGGAGGAACAGCATTGATTTGCTTAAATATCACAAGAGTGATTTGCTTTGTAATGAAACCTGCTCTGAAAAATACCTTAGAAATCTAGCTTTGGATGAACTTTCTCCTGTGTGTGCCACACAGCGCTTTTTTTTTTTGAATACTTCTGCTTTCCGTCTGTTTGGGTTCATGGTCGGTGTGCGTGGTGTGGCATGATGTGACGTGACAAGGAGTGATGCCACATCCAGTGCTCTAGAATTGTAAGGGGGAAAAGGATGTCCCAAAGCTAATTCCATATAGGCTTTGTGGACTCCATCCCCACCCCAGGCCAAAGCCAAAGACACTGGGAACTCCAAATCCCATCACCACCAAAGGGAAGGTGGCTGGGACCTGAGGGTGGGGTTAAGCAGCCAGGTGGATATAAAAGGCAGACACGTGGGCTTTGGGGATCCCCCATTTTTGGCTCTCTGCCAGCTCGCAGCGTCCTGCCAGCTCTGAGAGTGACTTTGGGTTTCCAGGTCGGCGGATCGGGTAGGACGCATTAAAGACTTTATTTCCCTATTTTCTCCCTGAGTTGTACATTTTCCTTATTTCCTTTCCTCTTGTAAATAAACCTTTTATTAACCCTTTTGTGTGTGTCTGTAGTAGAGTATTCATAAGTCCCTCTAAAGCGCGCGGGTGAGGACCCACAGCCAGGAACCCGTTTTAATATCGGGGTTGCTCTATAACAGAATCACCTCTGTAACAGTGACACCTGTGCATCCTCTTCCACGCCATGGGTCTCCTTTGTATACAGTCTATTTATTCAAACCCTCTGTGAACACACTGTTGACAGAATGTTTACAGGGACCTGGCTTCTGAGGCCCCCGACCCGGGTCTAGCAGCTGGAGAGCAAAACCGTCTGTATAGACTTGAACTCAGAACAGGCTAGGCCTTGTTCTGTGAAGCAGCCAAGCAAAACTATGCCACCTGAGAGTAAATCAACCTTTCAACCTCCACTGAAGACCAAGGAACCAATAAATACAGAAGTTAGGGGGTACCCGGCCTTTGCTTTCTCTAGAAATTAGGGACAAGATTAGGTCATGGCATCTGCCTTTCTTTGGGGATAGATAACACCAACACATCTTTAGATAACTTTGGAAATTGAAAGCTCTACACCTACAGATGAAAAACAGAAGCTCTCCCAACCCCCCTGAAATAATTACATTTTTTGAGATAATGATTTATTGTTCCTAGCTATATAAACTGAACTCAAATGCGTATTTGCTGGAATAGTTTGCAGAGTAAAATTTGCTGAATCCTCACTTTGAATGTCTAATAAACTTTTTATCTAAGATCACTGAAACTTTTTTCTCAGTCTTCCATTTTGGACAAATGGAAGTCTGAAGCACCAGTGGTGACTGGGAATGGTGTGTCAGCAGCTATGGGGGCTCCAGAAACGTCCCCGGTGAGGTGTGGGCTAACACGTGAGCTGCACCCCACCTACCCACGACCCTGGTGTTGTAGTAGTCGGGAAGCATGCGTTCACACAGCGCCACCAGCAGCCAGAAAGCCTCCTCTTCTTTGGCATAAAGCAGCAGCACTGATGTGACAATATTCATGGCCTAAAAAAATGAAAGAGGATGTTCCCAAGTAAGTTTTAACCTATATGCAATTGTCTTAGTCTGAAACAAGAGGGCTGAATTATTCTCACAGGGTCAGCAAACTTCTGTAGAAGACCACATGATAAATACGTAAAGGCTTTGCAAGCCACACCCACATATTTTTCCGAGTTTTGTTTTGTTTATAATTTTTTTTTAAAGATTTATTTATTTATATAAGCACTGGGGTACAGGCCAGAGGTGCGGGAGGGTGCGAGAATTCACCAGACAGAGCGGGGAGCAGAACAGGCTAAAAGTACACTGCTGAGGGGAGCAGCAGGCTAGACAGGAGTGGTCTGCTGCGCCATGTGGGAATCTCCCTGGCTGGCTGGTAATTGAACCCATGCTGCAGAGGCTGTGGACAGCTTCACAGCGCCTTGCTCAACCTGCTGCGCCACCAGGGAGGCCCTGTTAATAATGTTTTAAAGATGTAAAACCTCTTCATTCTGTAACTGTTAAGGGTCTTCCTGAAGCCCTAAATTCACCAAGAACTGAACTCTGCCTCCAGGCTAACGCTAAAACTTGGCCCAAAAGCCTTTGTTTGGCAAAGCTTTGAACCTGCCCAAATCTAGATGTTTTTAATCCTTAACTCAGTGAAGTAAATCTTTTCTTTTTAACCCTCCATGAGGGTTTCTATAACCAAGTACCTGTGGCTTGAGGCTCATTCAGAGAACAAAGAAGCCTTTCAAAGGTGGAGCCCTCGCCCATTATTTTGTCTGGATAAGGATGGCCAGTGATAAGTAACAGAGATTGAACTTCTAAAGCAACTACTTTATTAAAAGATAATATCAGATAGCTCCTAACCACTCATGGCTCAACTACTTTAACAGTCCTATTAATTAAAAAGATGAAGATCAAAAGATAAATGTTAACTCCATTACAGTAGAAGTCAACTAGCTCCTGGATTTTGTTTGATCTTGTAGAAACCAGTAACTGTTCATCAGACTTCTACAATGGAAATGTCAAACAAGAGTTTTGTTCTAACAGGCTCCTTATGTTTGCCTTAGTATTTTCCCAAGTGCAATCATTATTAAAGTCCTGCTTGAGGAGTACCCTGCTGGTTCTAGCAGATATTAATGATCATGGGGCGCTGCTTAGTCATTCCATCCAGGTAAGTTTCTGACGGTCTGTTTGTAAGAGGCTCTAGACTGACTAAGAACTGAGGGGGACACCCTGGTAGCAAGTTTCATAGGATTTAAATGCTGGTTACAAGAGATAGAATAAAGATGCAAAGGTTAATTTATCAATTTGGGGGTATGTTTAATTAAGTGCTAACAAAGAGATAAAAGAATCTGGTACAGGAGACCAACACCATGTGTGTACATGTGTGTTCACATGTGCACACGTATGCCTGTGTGTTTGTGTGTGTGTGTACAGAGTTCAGTCTGTTTCAGCTTTTAGATGGATAGTGAGGGAGCCTTCTCTGATTATGTGGCCTTTAAATGTTAGTATCCTAAATTGTAGTGTAAGTACTTTTACTACAAGAGATCCTTTTGGTTGGTATATATTGCAAACACTTTTTACACTGAATTAAATATTTATTGTGATGTATCTAGAATTATAACCATCGCATACAAAAGCTCCAATCCCAAGGATATTATTGCTCAGGAGGATGCAAAGCAGAAGCACTGGAGCAGCTGGAATCCCGAGCTAAGGCCAGTGCTCAGACCGGCTCTCTATTACCCAGAGTGGTGGAAGTGACTTTAAGGTCCCCAGTGGTGGAAGTGACCTGCATGGTGGTGGGCTAAGGAACCTCATCTCCTGGCCCCCCGGCAGTGTGGTGGTTCTCAGCCCTGGAGATTTCTCTACCCACAGACATCGTAACACCAACAGGTGCTGTCGGCTGTCATAGTCCAGAGGTCTTACTGGCATTTAGTGTGTAGATGCTGTGAAGCATGTTATCAAGCAGGGATGTCATGGAGCACCCTGCACCCTACAGCCGGTCAGCCGCGCACAAAGAATCACCAGCCACAACGTCGATCGTGCAGCAATAGTTAGGCTAACCACAAAGCCTTTCTCCTCGTTATTAACTGGTTAAGAAAATAATTGTTCTAAGTATTAACCACCTGTGACATTTACCTGGCAATACCCTATGTTGGGGTTTCGAAAAGCATAAGCGGTTAGGACTCTCCGCAGAGCCGCGATGCCCATCTCATTCTGGAAGGCTGGGTGTTCTGGGAGGGAACGGTGCAGATCCCGCTCAATCTCCTCAGTGGCGAGATTGTACTTCCCCATGGACTTCTCCACAAGGTCCTCATAGTACCCAGGGTGCGTGGCCTTCTCATTGATGGCACCTGGGAAATACCCAACAGATACAATGTCAACAGGTTGGAAGCTGAATTTTCATGAAGACAGGAAGCAAGTATTGGGCTGGGTGTGGGGAGGAGGCAGCCCTGGTGCACTGCTTGGGAATGTTAAACCCTGCAGTCACCTTGGAAAACAGGGTGGAAAGTCCCTAAAAAATTAAGACCAGAAACGCCATATGCTAGAACTATCCCTGGCATTTATCTGACGAATATTAAAAACATCAACTTGAAGAGACATAAGCTCCCCCATAGTCACTGCAGCACTATGTACAGCGGCCAAGAGCTGGAGACAACCTAAAAGTGCCCACCTAAGGATGAGTGGATAAAGACGACGCCGTGCACAGGGGGATGCTACTCGGCTATTAAAAAAAAAGACGAGACCCACCATTTGCAGCAAATGGATGGCCCTGGAGGGATGATGAAGTGAAGTAAGTCAGATGGAGGAAGACAAGCACCCTATGATTTCATTCACTTGTGGGAAGATAAAGAAAATAAATGAGGGTCTCCCCGGTGGCGCAGCGGCTGAGCACTGGGCTGCAAAGCTGCCGGCAGCCTCTGCAGCGCCGGTTCGATCCCCGGCCATTGGCAAGGGTCCCACATGGCACGCAGACCTCTCCTGCCGCCCGCTGCTCCCCTCAGCAGTGTATTTCATCAGTCTGCCTGTTCTGTTTCCCGCTCTGGCTCTGGGGAATTCTCTCACCCTCCCGTGCTTCTGACCAGTACCCAGTGCTTGTATAAATAAATAAAATAAATCTTTAAAAAAAAAAAAAGTTACTAAAAAAAAAAAAAAAGAAAACAAATGAGCAAATTAAACAAAAGCCCTCATGCTACAAGGACAACATAAGGGTCACCAGACGGGGGCCGTGTACAGGGGTCACCTGCATGCAGGGAGCCAGAGCTGAGCTGGCAAATACAAGGGAGTGTCTACAGGTGCTGGGGCAGACGGCTGCACACTGGAAGCCCATGTAATGTTAAAAACCAATGTGACTCCAGAAGGGGAGCCCTGACCTTGGTCTGCACCCACAACGTGCTGACTGGGGCTCCCTACACTCCTCTCAGCCGAGAGACACTCGCGGGTTGACAGTGGCGTCCCAGGAGGCACTATCGGGCACCTTGCAAGCCCGGTGGGAGGCATGGGACCCCGTGCCTCCTGCTCTCTTTCACTCCAGAGCAAGCAGCTATTAAAAAACCTCCTAAGGACAGATTTCCAGGCCCAACACTGTTCCCAGGGACTTCCACGGTCCATCCGGAGAGGCAGGGAACCAGGCAGGGCCGAGCGAGCCTGCCCCAGCAACACTGGCCCGGAGGGGCGAGTTGGCTCCGGGTTGGGGGTGCGTGTATGAGGAAGCAGGGGCTGCACACCTGGAGCCGTCACCCGCCGTACCTGAGAGCAGCAGCCAGAGCTCCCCCCGCATACTCTCGGGGATACCCTTCAGCACCAGGTCCCGAGTTTTCTCCGTGCGGTACATGCAGACCCCTTGCCCGTACTCGGCGAAGTGTATCTTCCAGGCTTGCTCTTTCAAAAACTCTTTGGCCTGAAAAAGAGAACACAACACCACTTTATAGAAAGTCATGGCACCTTCATGTGTGTTATGTTAAATGTGCCTGTGGTGTATGCCTGTGGTGTATGTACACCGGGGTGCTCGGAGGATGGTGAGAAGTTCCAGGAGAAGCAGAACAAGCCCCCCAGTGACTGGCGTGGCTATGTTCTGGAAAGATCTCGGGAAAACAGGAAACTCAGCTTTTCTGGAGCAGGAGGCACCCACCAGTTTCGGGTTGAACTCCTCGGGGGACCGCCGCCGGTACATGGTCATCAGCGTCTGCGTGGCCGTGGGGATGCTGTCGCCGTTCAGGTTGAAGGGGCGCTCTCCGTCGGCCTCAGAGCCCGTGCTTCTCTGGGGGCTGGAGGACACCAGGCTGCTGGGCCGAGAGTACACCTAGGAGGCACAGGGACAAGGTGGAGGTGAGTAGGGACCGACAGGGTCCCACCAGTGCTGGGGCGTGGCTCCAGGGGTGTCCTGCAGGGCCCGACGTGCCAGGGTCCCAGCCACACCAGAGCTGCAAAACTCAAAAATAAGTTTCCTCTGCATTTTAGATGCATTTTTGCAAACACAATGGTTGACCATTTGCTCTTCTGAGGAAGACCCCTTCAAAGTGCATCAAGATTAAATCAGCTGCTTAAGGGACCACCTCTGTCATCTCCTCTTTAGCTTCTGGCACCTCAAAAATGCCCGCATGGGCTTGTAACAGGTGGGCAGGGGCATCAAGTGGGAGCTCACCATCTCTACAGTGTATTTTAGCTGCCAGGAGCTGGCGCTATTGCTGGAGCTGTTCACGTATGTTCTGGGCTCCAGTTTCCTGGAATATTTGCTCTAGGAGAAGGCCTGGTTCTACAGGGAGGTAAGATGTACTTCATCATCGGAAGTACGTCAGGTATGAGACTTTATTTAGTGACCTTTGTACCACTCCCCATAATGTCACCATAGGAATCGGAGTCGCTGGATGCATCTTCTGGACACTTAATTTCACTTAATTTCTTCAAGTGCGGAATTTCAAGGGTAGACCAGATGATGCATATGGCCCCAAATATAAACTCCCTGAGATTTAAATGAACTGTCACCTAGGGCATCACAGTAGGTGGCTGCAAAGGTCAAAGATCAAACAAAAGGAACTGGAGGTGATCTCTTGGGGCAGGAACCAGTAAAGCCCCACGCCCAGGGTCTTCACCGACCTCGTCGTCTGAGCTATTGTAGCTTCCCGCCAGCTCTCTGTCCGAGTATATCCTGGAGGTTGTCTGCTGCAGGAAATCTGAGATCCTCTGCACCAGAAAGTCTCTGTCTTTCAGGTTGGCAAATAGGAAGGTCATCTTGTTCCTGGTGCTGATGGACAGGGGGCTGGGCAGCACGCTGGAGCTGTCGGCCTTTTCTACAATCGTCACCTGCAGAGAACAGGAAAAAAAGAGGCTTACTTCCCACCCAGGGGTGGCCCCAAGGCTGCCTCTGAGCACCTGTCTCTGTTTTCCAGTCACTACCCACCTCTTATTGAGGCAAATGGCAATTCTATGATTCTGTTCCCATAAAACAGTTCATAACAAATCAAACTGGGCTCGTACCAGAAACTGGCATCGTCTTGCTGGGCTTTCCCAATCATTAGTTCGAACCTGGGAGATGTTTCTCCCCCCGGGAGGCATTTGTGGGCATCGAGAGGTGCTTGTTGGAGGGGACCACTGGCACCTGGTAGGTGGAGGCCAGGGACACTGTCAGACAACCCCACGCCAGTCCCCAACAAGCTCCGGCCCGACACGCCACAGAGCCCAGACAGAGGGACCGGCTGGGAAGGTAATCCGTTGATTTTCATTAAAACTTCATGGAGCCACAAGCGAGATCTATCACTGAGACATCACCCACAAGAGACAGAAAATACCCAAGGTTGGTGAAAACCAAGTTTCAAGATAGGCGGTCTTCAAAACACCACCGACCCTCAAGTCTCACGAGTGTGCAGGGCACGATCCCTTCACCTCTAACCACTTTAAAGATTTGAAGGTGCCATTCCTGAATAGGTGCAAACAGCTGAGCTGCAACCCCACACTGGCTGCTAGTGTGTGCGTGTGTGTGTCTACCATATCGGGAGAGAAGTAGGGGGTGACATCTACTTTACCTCTGAAGACACCTATTTGGTGGGTTATAATAGGATTTGTACCCACGGATACTAAGATTAAATGCATTCCGGCTTTTCTTTAGCCCGTTAGGAAAAAAGCCTCAAGGTGGCCCTAGATAAATGTTCCTTTGCCCTTAACTCTAACTCTGTCAGAGTTAGGTTTCTTTTCCCCTCTGCACATTCACCTGCAAGCTGTCTAGATAGGGTCAACTCTACCCTGTGTTCATCAGCATTTGCTTGTGACATATATTTCCTCCAAAGCTGAACTTTAAAAATATCACCCCTCAAGACTCAGACGCTTATAGGAGCTGCCTAAGAGGTTGTGCAGCCCCCAGTGCACACAGGAGTGGCTGGGGCCCATAAAGAGGGAGATTGCAGGGTCTGCCATCTATATTTTATTTCTATATTGTAATTCATTGTATATATACACTTATAAAGGAATCTGCTGAGATGCCTGGAGCAGTGCATACAAACTTTTTCACAAAGATAGCAAGTGATACAGAAAAAAAAAGTTATCATTAAAAGGGTTTCCCCATTACATGTAAGACATTACACACTTCCGATAGTTTAGCCATGCTGAAATACACACTGTTAATGTTCTGGTACATTTCCTTGCAGACATTTTCTATACCTACTTAAAAAAAAAAAGACTGATACAAACTCATTGTTCACAACACATTTTTTCCTGATTCTTTTGGTCACCTGGGACTAAATGACAAATGCCAAGGGTTGAGGTCACTGCCTGAAACACAGATGGCCTTGAGAGTCCAGATGAAGTCAAGCAAGTGTCCTTTATCCTTTATCCCGCTGACAGCGAAGACAGAAACAAGAGCCTCCCGCGTGCAACCTGCAGATGCTCACTGGCTCTGAGATGACCTTCCTGTGCCAGGTGAGCTGGGGCCAGATGCTGTCCCCTCAGCTTTGTGCCTTTGGGAAGGGGTAACCCTTCACCCCACACACAATTTATTCCTCTACTGAGATAGCTTTTGTTATCAACTGGGTCATAAAATAGTTTAATCAAGCCTTGGGAGGCAATATGGAACACTTACAAGGTAAATTGTGCTGGGGGGTGGGGGGAGAGGCTTCTGGAATCTCTATCTAAGGAGGAATCTAATCCAATCTCTCCTCCTGCTTTGCAGCCTCTGTGATTCTTTAGATCTACACCCAATTCTGCATAAACACTGAGCATCCATCTCCTCTCCCTGGAGTCTCCTTGTGGAATATATGTTGACAGTCTTCAGTCAATACTTCAGCTTATTTTATTTTATTTTATGTGGACCAAACAATATTCTGTGAATATGTCCAAAGCAATGATCCACAACATATTTTCAAGCAGCTACAATGACAATGGAGATCATGACCGCAATTCAGTGAGTTAAGGCATGTGGTGGTGTCTCCCCACCCCCATGTGTGCCCACCTGTGTGTGCCCAAGTTGCTCACCTCCATGAAACATGCGTGGACCCTTGTAGCTGCCCAGCATAAGATAATCTCACAAGTGAACGGCCCTCCTATGTCTACAGTCTGGTGGGCCCAAGTCTGGGTCATCTACCATTTCAGAGCAGACACCTTCTTAGGCGATTTCCACTTCAGCTTTTGCAGATGCACAACAAACCCCCAGAGGATGTACATGGTTTCCTTTATTATTTTTATTGAGGTCATGCTGGTTTATGGCACTGACTGCATTCACTTTTAATAATTAAATAAAATAACAACTCCTAGTCTATACAACCCAGGTCCTTCCAAGATGGATGAAACCTCCCCACAGTGACCCCCGCCGAGCCTCAGCCTAACCAGCTCCCAGAGGCACCTGCGCGAGGACAGTCCACTCTGCCCAGATAGAGCCGGCGGAGGGTGGGGCCACCCAGGGTCTTTATCCTTCCCTAAAGGTAATAAAAATTACATTAGGGTTTTGCTTCTTCCATTAGTTGGGGTTAGGGCTCTACCATTAATATTCCTCAGCGATTCATCGGGTTCAGGGGAGCATTTCTTTAAAGCTGCCTCCTCCAACCACAACACGCTTCATTTCTCCATGTGGCTCCGCTCTGTCCCTCTTCCATCTACCCTGAAATAAGGCTCTGCCCCACCACCTCTTAGGGAAACCAACGGCCTCAGAGGGCTGAGCGTGCCCATCACCACTCCTCACCCCCTGGGCCACCACACTGCTGTACTGCAGATGGCAGCAGCTGACACCCCGCGGTGGGGAGCAGGAAAGCAGACGACAGGCCGGGGCGCTCTGCAACTAGCCCCCTGCACATCTGCGGAGCACGCTGCTCCCAGAATGGGTTTCCCGAGTGGCCGGGTGACTCTGCTATTATATTCGGGCAGGACTTAAAGAACAACATTCAGTTTAGTAACAGTCCATGCAAAGAAGGCAAATGGGTTGGAAAAGGTTACAAAATGCATTTCAGAGCCAAATGTACGAGCTGTTGAATTATCCTTTCCAGAACTCATCCCAACAACATATCTTGGCCTCAAAATGTGTCATAAACCAGTTAGTTCATCCTAGAAGATGAAAAACTAGATTTTTTCACTGCCTAACATTTTATATTCTTTTTGATCCAGTAATTCAATGTCTGAAAATTTATAATGTGAGGAAAGTTATACATACGACTGGAGGAAAACTGAAAACAATGCAAAGAGCCAACCCCGGCTAACTGAATAATCTCTCTATATGTTTACATCCATATAATTGTATATAAATGTGTACATATAATACAATTAATCAAATAATATGTAATCATGAAAACTTATATTGCAAAAGAATATTAAATAATATGTGAAAGATTTAATGTATATTCACTGGTAAGGGAGATAAGCAAAAAATAAAAATCCCCTGTGCTTGACAGCTCCATTATATAAATGACCTAAAGAAAGCAATAAAGAGGAAGCCATCCCTGGTTCACACAGAGACATACAGATCAACTCCAAAGACGCCCGCTCCCACTGGCACTCACCTCACGGAGTGGGATGATGAGGCTGCACAAGTTTTCCTCCTTGCTGGTAAAGCAGATGTAATTGGTGGAGACAAACATCTGTCCCAAAATGTGCATTTTGTTAAACGGGGTCCAGAGGGTGCAGTCTGTGTGGCCGTCCAGCTTTTCATCCTTGGGCAGCCGGAAGAGAGCGCGGTACCTCTCACTCTTTGCCCGGGCATCGAGGTCCCTGCAAGGCAATGACAACCCTATCAGGCCCGAGCAGGCTCTGGGGCCTTGCCAGATGTGCCCCCACCTTCCCATTTTCATCGGTGTCCATGCCCACCCTTGTGTCGAGACCCAGAAACGCGCGTGGACCCTTGTAGCTGCCCAGCATAAGTTAAATCTCACAAGTGGGGCCTCCCCTGGTGGTGCAGTGGTTGAGCGCTAGTCTGCAAAGCTGCCCGCAGCCTCTGCAGTGCCAGTTCGATCCCTGACCCCTGGCGAGGATTCCACATGGTGTGACAGACCGCTCCTGCCACGCCCATTGCTCCCCTCAGCAGTGTATTTCGTCAGTCTGCCTGTTCTGTTCCCCGCTCTGGCTCCGATGAATTCTCTCCCGTGCTTCTGACTGTACCCAGTGCTTGTATAAATAAATAAATAAATCTTTAAAAAAAAAAAATCTCACAAGCAAATGGTCCTCCTATGTCTACAGTCTGGAGGGCCCAAGTCTGGGTCACCTACCGTTTCAGAGCAGACACCTTCTTAGGCGATTTCCGCTTCAGCTTGGGCAGCGACCGGTCCTGCTCGAAGCCCTCGTTGTCCAGTAGCTGCCTCATGGCAATGTTGGCCAGCTGTTCCATCAGCTTGAAGGTCTCGTTGATGTTGAGAAACACGGAGAAGAAATGTTCGCTGGACCTTGTGCTCACTTTGATCACGTCGGGCAGAAGCAGCGTGGCGTTCTTCTCCAGCTGCGTGATGTCCACCCACCGGATCACCAGCTTGGCTGGCACAGGGAACAAGGCTGGGTCAAGGCCTGACCCGGGAAATCTCTTCCAGAGGCTGCCGCCTTACCACCCACCTACAACCTCACAGACTCACTGAGCTTGTGCACCCGTATTTATTATTGTTTTGTGTGCCAGTTTTAAGATTCAAATTCCGTCTACCACATCCTCTGTTCATAATTATTATGGATATAAGTCTATGCTTACTAAGCGAAAGATTCCTTTGGTGAATATTAATTGACCAAGTTTTTTCAGACAAATGTTAGACTGATCATTACTGAATTTACTTGGTTCACTAGTTCAAACACAGCGTTGAACCAGTCATCACTACAGATTTAGTCTTGATATTTTGATAGGATGTGCGAGTTCAGGGCAAAGTGTGTACACTTTGCAAAGCTTCCTTCTGAAATTCCAGGCCACTTACCTTCCCTCCCCATGAGAAAGGAGTAAAAGCAAAGGTGGTTAATACTGAGGTACATCCAACCCTGGCGGGGGACCTTCCCCTTCCAGTAGCTGCAGGAATAGTAGTTGACGAGTTTCTCTTCCTCGGGCATCCCAAACAGCCTGTGGAATTTCACAATCGCTTCTTTAAACTTCTCTGTGTCATCGTCTTCCTTCACGTCATTGATTTTGTTGTATTCTGCTATGATGCCCTAAGCAGGGATAAGACATGAAGCAGAAAATGGCCTTAATATGAACAGGCGACTTTCTTCTGCATATTGTGTTCAGTGGAAAGGGGAAAAAAAGTCTAAGGCTCAGCATTTAAAAAAATTTGTAAGTTATTTTCAAAGGCAACCCTCGAGTTCTAAACTAATACCAAGTAGGATTTGCATTCTAGAAGATTTTCAGTTAAACAACAGGGGTTTTATTATTTTTATTGGTGATAATCATGTATTATGTATTATGTTCACTGAGAATGAAGCCCATCGTTCTATTTCACAAATGAGATGTAAGGATGTTGCTACTTCCACTCCTTGCCCTGGCTCGTGCTGATAGAGTTTCCCTCGTGTCAACTGTGGCCATTCTGCAACATGACCAAACAAAATACATCCTGAACAGCCAGGGCTGGAAAAGCAAAGCAGCCACTAACTGCCATTGGCCACAGGTCCACTGCCTTGTGGTCATGAATAACACCAGGGAACACGCAGTCAACTGAACAGAAAAGGGGTGGATACGAGAGCTAAAGTTATATCAGACACACAAATTTTGGTCAGTTGGTCAGTAAATGAATTATTTGCCCAGCAGGTGAGGTCTTACTGCTCCGTCAAATAGTAGCCAGAGGGGCAGCTGATGGTTATCCCGTCTCTCTGCAATTCCCTGCAAACCGGCTCCTACGTACAGTAAGTCTCCCCAGTGTGGGGGTAGGTTCCTGGAAACTGGAACTTTTAAGTGGATCCTTTTTTCTCATCAAGGTTGTAGCAAAACAACGACAAGTGTCAAGGTGTTCCTCAAAGATCAGCCGTCTATCTCACAACAGAAAATGCCCCCTCGGATTCCACCTTGGACTTCAGAACCATCAAGTCGCTCTCACTTCGTTGCCATGCGCTCCGGCCTCAAGGTAGCCCTGGGAAGGCCTGAGCTCTGGACTGTCAGACACCAGGGCTCAGCTCCCCAAGTCTGCCAGCCCTGGACTCTGGGAAATCCCCAGCCCCTGCCACCCGCACCAGGGGTGAAGTCCCCACTGCCTCACACCTGGTGTCCATGCCTTGGGGCTCTTAGGCTTCTAGTGCATCCTGCACGCACCCTACAAATTTATCTTCCTAAAGCTTTTTTCAACTACAAACTTCTTATCAATATCTTGAGTAGTTCCCGACTGCCACCAGGGTAAAATCCAAAATTCTAGACTGCACATTTTTTATTAGCCCAGAGGTCTTTTTATTTTTCTTTTCACACCTGTCATTCCATGAACGCGCAGGGAATGGGGGCTGGCAGCGTGGGCTCCTCTCCTCGGGGTCTCACAGTGAGCTGCTCTGGGGGGCGGGGAGGGAACAGGTGGGCGCTTCAGTGGAACCCGGGACCTTCTCTTTGACTTCCTTTTTTTGGATTATTTTCTTTCACACATTTATGAATCTGTCTTGGCTCTAAGAATGCTTAATATACTCAGTATGAACAGTATGAACTGATTCTCTTGGCTTTTGCTCGTTTGTTTACAACAATGCCAAGTGCGTGCTGGGTAACAGTATGGCCTCTTCCAGCGTTGCCATGGTAACGCTTTCCTGTGGGGTTTTCCTCTTTGAGCAGTGCCCATGCCCTTTATGTGGACAACACTTTTCGTGTGGAATCAATTGCGTGTCTGTGGTCCAAGGCGCACCACCATGTTTTCTAAAACGCCTGCAGGACAATAGCGGGGCCTCTCTCTCCCTGCCTGCTGGTGGTTTTGGCCACTTACTGGAAGATGGTGGTTCCTACTGGAAGATAGCAGACCCCGCTGAAAGACCTGAGCACACTTTGGATCCAACCACCACCACCACCTTTCCCCTCCCTGTACTGTATCCAACCCAAACTCCCACGGGCAGTCCTGCCCCAGCCAGCAGCCCCTTCTAACAGAGACCCCCTCCAGCCCCTCCACAGTCCAGGAACCGCTGCAATAGCTTCCTGACTGCCTCCCATCAAGGGTTTTCCCACGTATTTTGTGCAGCCATTTTCTGGGCGGGATGTGATTACAGCATTCCCATCTTAAAAATGCTCACAGGCTATCAGTGAAATGGGGAAAAGTCCAATCTGTATCTCATGCCATAAAATCCCATCCTCATCTACCCAAATCAAGCTTGAACCAATACTAAACCAAAGTTGAGCATTCCACATCTATGTTCTCTTAAATTATGTGTTGGCTGAAAATATTTTTTATATGATCATCCACCACTAAATATGAGTTCCAAATATAGTGTCTTGAACATTGTTAATCACCAGTATCTAGTACCTACTTGATATCGATAAAAGATAATTAAATGAGTATATGCTGTCTTTCCAAATTAGCAGGCATGCTAAGGGGTCATATCTTATTATTTTTTTATGTCCTCCAGAGTTGCAGGTTTCTAAATCTAAAATTATTGAAGAGTTAGCAACCCTTGGGAAATTAAGTGCCAAGTTGCTGACTCCTGCTCATACAGGAGGGTACAGGGCAGACACTGGGAGGGGAATGCACTCCCCCTAAGGGTATCCAAGATAAGTTTGTCTCCTCTAATTACTTTTGACACTGCTCTGTTGGGAGAACAGAGATGGTGGCTTTCATGGAAGCCAGGGATATGCATTTTGGATGCAGGTTATTTTAGGGGTGAGCAGGCTTTGGTAGGATGCTTATTGGGAAACTTCAAACAGGAGGCAGCATGAGGACACTGCACCTCTGGGGAGGGAGGAAAAGCCAGTTCAGAAGGAAGAGGGATGAGATAAACCTTCCCAGCGGGGGAATGGACCTACAGCCTATGATACATCACAAGCGATCAGGCCATTAGAGAGGGATCAAAAAGTAGACAAGAATGGAAGGAGAAATCAAAGAATCGATAAAAGTCTCTGAACAAGAACCGCTGATAAAGAGCAGCTGGATCCCTCCGCAATCTTTTTTTTTTTTTTTTCCCCCCTCAGCAATCCTAACAGTCAACTCAGCGAGCATGGGGCCTGGGAGTGGGCTGGGCTGGATCTGCTGTTCTCGGCAGCTGGGACAGGGCTTCCTTGCAGTCAGGGTAAGGAGAGCATCGGAAGGGCGTGGCGTGGAACAACTCTGATGTGTTGAGTGAAAAATTAGTCAGTTCAGATTATGCTAAATATCTATTAAGTGCCACATTTCTAGCATGTTCATTTAAAAGAAAATGTTTTTAAATATAAGAGGATTCGTGAAGATGTAGAACTGAGACACACGTCTGGGGTCAATACAACAGACCAGCCCTGCCAACTAAGGTCGGCAGCAAGGGGACTAGTCCTTTGGAGGGCCCCTCCCGACCTCCTCACCTTTGACAGAGGGTCTAGCATGCAGAACTGTTTCTGAGTTGGCTGTGATTTTTGAGCCAGGAGGATAGGATGATGGAACACAGGGTGGAATACCGCCTTCCTGTGGATTCTACAGTATAAAATAGATCCCCCTGGTTCTAGGCAACAGGTCCACTTAACTGAAAAATGACCCTAACCCAAATATGCAGCATGTCTAACAAAAGTTTAAATACAAAAAAGGTAATTCACAAAAACAGGAAAATTAACCGAGCAAACATGAAGACTTTCAACCTCATCATCAATCAAAGATAGAAAACTGAAGGAATGGTACCAGTATTTACTTATTAAATTTGAAAATCCATCTAAACAATTAGAATGCCAAATTTGAGCAATGACGTAATCACACAGAGGTTCTTATATATTGACGATACCTACCAAGGTCCATTAAACATGTGTAAACTGCTTAATTCTCAATAAAGATTTTATAATCCATGTCAAAGGGGAAAAACCTATAGGAAAATTTATATGAACAAAAATGTTCACTGTATTATTTATTGTTTGTACCCCTCTCCTCTCCCTACTAATCTAGAGGCTGATGAAACTTCTAGAAAGGGAATGAAGAATGGTAAGGTTGTTACAGGGCAGCCCCAATACAAAACGGGGTACCTGACTGTGGGTCCTCACCCGTGCGCTTAAAAGGACTTATCAATGCTCTACTGCAGGTGGACACGAAAGGTTAATAAAAGGTTTATTTACAAGGGCAGGGCAAATAAGGAAATGTACAACTCAGGGAGAAAAGTGGGAGATTAAAGTCTTAAATGCTTCCTACCCGATCCGCCCATCTGGAATCCCAAATGGCACTCTGAGAGCTGGCCGCGAGCCAGGAGCTGTGAAGCCAGGAGGTGAGCGAGAGAGCGAGCCCCACAAGGCCCACGTGTCTGGTTTTATACCCAACCTGGCTGCTTAACTCCAACCTCAGGTCCCAGCCACCTTCCCTTTGGTGGTGACGGGATTTGTCTTTCCCAATGCCCTGATGGCTTTGGTCTGGCGTGGGGGTGGGGTTCACAAAGCCTGCATGGAATTAGCTCAGGACATGGTTTCCCCCTAACAAGATCAATTACGGAATAATATTCGGTTATTAAAATAACTAAAAATTATGTAACAATATAGCTCATATTCATCGAGGGAAAAAGACATGATATTATGTGTACGGTGGGGCTACAATATGATAAAATGCATATTAGAAATTAGGGAAAAAGCAAAATGTTACCTATAGTGCTTGGATTATGCTTGCCTCCTGTTAATTATTACCTTTATTATTATTATTATTATTATTTTAATTATATATATTTTTTACATCATTTATCATTTTTGCACAGTGTATGCATTTTCATCTTGGTTATAGTCCCCATACAATTCCCACCCCCCCCCTTGTTTCGATCCTACTCCCTCCTCTTGCCCTCCCATCCCCACCCTGTAGTGTATCTTTGGGTCTCTAGTTTATAGTTGTTTGTTGATTTTGATTTTTTTAACCTAAATAAGGAACCAGGAAAAAGACTAATTATTACATTTTTAATTTATAAAAGATAATTAGATTTCAAAACAAATATGTTTGTTGGTTCCCTTTAAAAATCTGTGAATTTTTAAACCATTCATTTGCACGTGAATGACATTCTTTCACACACAATTGCAATTCTTTCCTCATAATTGGTTTCAGGGGATTAAATCTGACATTTTTGGTGTAAGGAAATGAGAAGAATGGCTACTTGATATAATTGGTCCTTGTTCTATTTTCTGTTTCTTTTTTTCCTCCCACCTATTGTCACTTCCAAACTTCACTTCCTTCCTGTAATTCTCTGCGCCCACTTCCCAAAAATATCATTTGAGGCAAGACAGGAGAAGGCAGCTGAGCCCTCATAGTGGTTCTGCTAGGAGGAGGCTTCATGTCTGCCTCCCCTTCCAGATGGGCCTGGTTTTATAGGATGCCAGGGCGCTGAGTGTGGAGCCTAGGCGAATTCCTTGCTCTGTCTTTATAATTCTTCAGTAAATCTAAAAGTTATTTCAAAAAAGTTTTTATCTAAAATAAAAACACAACTATTTAAGTAAAAAACCACAACAACATGGAGTGTTGTCCTGGAAGTATTAAGTAAAAAAGCAAATACACAGCAGCATCTACATGGGTGCCTGAAGTGTGAGAAATGAAGAGAAGTACACCTATTTGTTATTTTCAGTTCTTCTGTAAAATTTAAATTACAAGCAAACCTCAGAGATATTGTGGGTTTGGTTCTAGATGTCACAATAAAGTGAGTAGAGCAATAAAGAGAATCACAAGAATTATTTTGTTTTCCAGTGCATATAGAAGTTACGTTCACACTCTAGCTTATTATATATGCAAGAGTACCATGTCTTAAACAATGTATATACCTTGACTTAAAAATTCATTATTGCTAGGAAATGCTAACCATCACCTGCACCTTGGCAAGCTATCTTTTTGGCAGAGGGTCTTATAAAAAAAAAAAATGCACTCTTTATGAAGTGCAATACAGTGAGGTACGCCTGCATTTGAAAGTAAAATGTTTTTAAAAACAAAGCACCCAAACCTGTATTTTTCCTCTCACAAATGTGGTGATATCGTTTTCATTTTCAAAGATAGAGAGCGTCTGCAGTAGATTCTGCTCAAGCCATTCCCAGTGTTCGGTGATTTCTTTTCTGGAACCACCTGTATGAAAGCGAACACAATAGTAGTAAATGTCAGCCTTTAAAAGATATTTTTAAAAAACAGGCTTGCGTCATTAATATTCAATGCCTTTAAAGGAGCTATGGCTCCATCCAGCTCTGCCTTTAATATTTTCTCTTCCCCAGAGGACACATATGCAAGGACCTAGAGCCCAAGAGTGAGCGTCGTGTTAGGCTGGCGTCTGCTCAGGGGGGTCCAGAAACTCATAGGATGCTTTTCAGCGGGAAGGCAGCAAGTCTTCTCATCCACTCTTCTGTGCAGCACCTTCCCGGCACAGCGGGAGGCGCCTGGGTAGGGTGCTGGGTCACAGTTGTTAAGTTGCAACAGTAAGAGAGTTGTGGCCACAGAGCTGCTGTAACTGCCTCCCATAATGGGCAAGAAATCAGCCTCCCTCGCTTCAATTATGAATGAGACATGAAATGGGCTATCACTGGGGAACAGGGCCCGATGCTCCCCAGTACGGCTGCCCCCCTGTAATGGGCTGAGCTCATCCCTAGGCCTCCAAGTCCTACATTTGGTTAGCATAAGCCAAGTAAGCTACTTCGCCTGGCACCTCGCCGGGCCACCTTGGATTTAAGCAGCTCTCTCCCTGCGGCAGAGTTGAGTGGCGCCACTCCGCCCAAGCCACACGTGACGGGGGCATCAGGATGTGGTAGGAAAATATTAAATTCTCTTCCCCGTTTTCTTGGACTGGGATCTTGCAGAATAAAGTTTTGTTGTTGTTTTTCCAATATAAGTCACCTGTGCATCATATATATATTGTACATCACACACCCACACAGGAGGTAATACACTCATTCCAGAATTAAAGAATGACTTTGTGGTTGCACTGCTTCACCCTCGGTGGCTAGAACTCGTGGCAGAACCACACATGTGAGACAACCACAGAAGGTGGCGGCTTCACCTCAGGAACCAATGAAAAGAAAAAGACATTATCTCCCAACTGACGTTCTCAGTGCCGAGGACATGCGAAAAATGAATTTCTTCAAACCAGTCTGGGGTAGATGGACGATAATAAAAATAAGCACATGGAGATTATGTTTCATCAGGTAATTCTCGCCGTTCCCCACGCCTCCTCCTGTATGGTTCGGATTGCCCTGGTCCAGGTGATTATTCTGTGGGGAGTTGGTCAGACCAGCTTCCGAGGACCCCTCCTGCGGTCTTCCCGTGACTCCAGAGTAAGGCAAACCCCGTGCCTAGGCTTCACCACGAAGGCCACCTCTCCCCTGCAGACAGCGGGCTCCTGACGACACGGTCAGGTGCTCCGCGAATCTGACTTGCATGTGCCGAGGACTCCCAGGACTTGGACAGACAGTCTTGCCATCCCGTGGGCTCCCCAGGGCGATGACTTCAACCCACCCAACATTCTGCCAAAGCTGCTCTTCCAACCACGATGTATGATATTCAAGTAAATTAAAAAGCTTTCAACATACTGTCCCACCAAATACCAACTGTGTAGTTTATGGGGGGAAAAAAGCACTAAAATTACAAAATGAAAGGTCAGCACATCAAAGGAATCTTTTTAAGGTAGCAGCTTCCGCTCTTAAAGTCTTCTCATGAAAGGGAGCCAGCAATTTGGGTTTTAAGTGGGGAAATCGATCAGAGAGAATAACTAATGGGTGAATGAGACTTTCACGTGGTTGTCACTTCCGTGGAGTCTTCTAGGAGGAGATTCTGGAGCTGTCTCTATGGGTAATCAATATACACAAAAGCTAAAACCATTCTGGTTTCTTATAACAAGATCCTGAAGCCATGAGAGGCTTTACTTACAGGGGAAATGAAAGCACGGGCCTTGTGGTATAAATGGTGCCAGCACCAGTGCTGCCCAGTGTTCTATAGGCTTGGATGGGCAAGGAATTCGGGAATGATCCAGCTCGTCACTCTGGTCCCCTTCCCACTTGAGCATTCAGAGGAACACTGCTTCATAGAAGGGCAAAGCCCCAGAAACAGCCCGGGTTGTATCAGGCAGTGGGGAGAAGGCTGGGAACGCAGAACAGAAATGCCTGATACAGCCCATGTTTTCCCAGGAAGCTGTTTGGGTCTCAAGCAGAACAACTTTAAGGGGCCACAACTGCACTGTTAGAATTCCACAGACTATCAAATCCTCAAGGGAGTGTTGCTGGGCACCAGAGTTTTCCAGCAGTCTGTTTCCTCACCATGCAACTTCCCTGCTCTGCAGCAGGCGGGCCAAGATTCCTGGATTGAATTGGGTCCCTGCAATTGAATGGCACTGGGGGTCTTGTTCACGCTCTCTGTACGTGGGTATTTACTTGTGTTCTCAAGAGCAGACTGGATCTGTTGTCTGTCTCGTAGCACACTTCCTACGCGGCAGAGATCAATTTAAAAACTTAATAAAGTCAACTGAAAGAGCTCCCAGTGGCCAAAGCTGGAGTGATTTGAGTAACAAAACAAATAAATTTGTACTGGGCTCCCCTAATGTGTAAGATAAATATTCATGATTTCATAGTGATATAAGCAATTGAAAACATTCAAACTCCCCACTCCTTAAATGTGGGCTGTGCGGTGACTTCCTTCCAAAGACGTCAAGGGTAGACAGAGGAAGAAAAACAGAACGTGATGATGGAGACACTTGACGTCACAACCAAAAGGATGGTCATGGCCATCGTCAGCCATAAATGGGGCTGACAGTGTGCACCCTGGCTTGGTGGGAGGGGGGTGAAAACAACACTTAGCTCTGTCGTGAAAATCATCACCCGAGCATATCATGAGAAAACACAGAACCAATTCCAACAGAGGGCTGTTTGGACCCGAACCTACCCCCATCGGGACCAACAAGAACAAGGCAAGTCTGAGAAAGTTCCACAGCTTGGAGTCTGGGAGCCAGATGCCAAAGGGCTCTGGTTCTTGTCTCGGGAGGAAAGGATTCAAGATCGAGACCAGAGTTAGGTGGAAAAGCATTAAGTTTACTGACAGCAAAGAAAGACAAGAAAGGTCTCTGAGCAGGGGGCCCTGAGTGGGTAACTGCTGAGGGGACAAGAAGCAGACGTTTATGGGGGCACAGTGGCCAGGAGTGGGGATTCTACTGTCTCCCTGGGTCTTGGCGTTGTGTCTCTGGCTGACTGGTGGGGCCTGTGGGGTCTCCTAGGTTACAGAGGCCTGATGAGTCTCCCAGGTTATCTGGCCAAAGCTCTGGTCCTTTGCTTTGGCACTGTGGTGGTGTTCTGACCATTCCACCTTTCACTGGGTTGGGGGCACCCTGACTCCAACCCCTTGTTCCTCATTTAGTTTGATAAATGGGCTTGGGAGACCCTAATCCTAACTGAATGCTCCTATTTCCAAACTTCCTCACTCATGAGGAGCCGGTTAGAACGACTAAATATAGTACAGATTTACAACACAGAGCAGGTTGTGGGGCAGAAAACAGGACATGAGGCAAAAATTAAGGAAATCTAAATAAACCATGGACTTTATTTATAATGGCGTTTCAATTAATGAAACAAATCTTCTGTAGCAAGATGTTAATAATACATGTGTAGAAGCCTATGGGAGCTCTCGGAACTATCTGTTTAGCTTTCCTGTGAATCTAAAACTTTTCCAAAATATAAAGACTATTAATTAAAAAAAAAGGCATGTGAAAACAGAAATGAAATTGTTTTAAAGGTGTTCAGTGCCCGCGTGGCACCAGCCTGGTAACCATAATTGCCCGTTTGTCTTGCTCTCCTCCTGTTTACCTTTTCTTGCAGACAAAACCAGAAAACCAGGCAAACGGGCGGATGGAGGCAGCAGCCAAGGGAAGAGCCACAGACTCATCATGGCAAAAGGCAGCCCAGCAGCGCCAGAACCAGCCAGGACCACACTCGGAAGGGCAAGGGGCGTGGATCTCCTGCCTCCTTTGCCTGAACTGCTGATGCAGCCCCTTTGGCCATGCCCATCCTACCCGCCCCCCATCGGAGCCCCTATGCTCCCCAGTCTGGGGAGATGGCCCTGGTGACAGCGGTGGGTGTGTCCTAAGTCCACCGACTCCTGATGAAACCTGATCTCCTTCCACCATCTCTCACCAGGTTTATGGGTGGTGAGCAGCCCGGCCCCAAAAACTCCTGTAACACTTGGGGTCCAGTGTGGGGCTGATGCACTCCAAGCAATGAAGCCCGCTCTGTGGGCTTAGCCCCCTAAGGTTAACTGAAAGCCACCTACAAACAGATAGCTACAAAATCTTGGCCACTCTGGACGAGACACTCTTGTGAGCCAGCCAACAACAGCAGCTCCTCCCCGCCAGCACGAGCCCAGCGCGTTACTCAGACCGTCCCCAGGAGGGAACACGAAGGTCCTGTTCAGCAGAAAGCCCCGGGCTAGGATATCCAGAGACTTCTTAGAACACCCCCGTTCTCCACTGCTCCTCTCATCCCAGCTGGCCCAGGACTTAGGCTGGGGCTGTGGGGCTCATTCTAGCCAGTGGATTGTGATGGATGTGAGGGGTGACCCTTTGGGGCCCAGGAAGTTCAACACAGGTGTGCCTCCACTTCCCACGTCCCCCTCCCCCCAGAGGCTGACTTGGCGACTCTGAGCTCAGGAGCACGTCGCTCCAGGTGAAGGGGCCACAGGACCCCAGTGAGAAAGGAGCCTTCATTGCGCTAAGCATTGAGGTTTGGGGTCCATCTGTCAAGCTGGCTGTGGTTACCCTAAAATACCAAGTGACTGTGCCCTACAAAACGGTCCTTTTCTTTCTGGCAGGAACTTGTTAGTCCTAACATTTCTCCAAGTTTCCAGATGCCAGGAACACTCACCGCAGGCGATGGTCCAGTAGACCAAGGAGTCCGGGGTCTGGTACAGGATCCGGTAAGGGGCCACCCGGGCGCTGGAGTCCAACACGACGTCAAGGGTCCCCACCAGGAGCCCTGAGGACAGAGAGGGTGCAGGCGGGTAAGTCCCCTCCGCGCTTGCCCAGATGCCCAGAAGCTGCGCGAATACGCCCCTCCTGTTGGGTCCCCTTCCCACAGCCGCTCCCAACAGGCCCTCTCCCACCGCACACACTCGACAGAACCTTCGTCTTAGACATGATGATGGATGCTGCTTGCTCGAAACACCACCAAGAGCCATGGCACAATCTGAGTGATAGATTGTGGGTTTCAAAAATAAAGGAAATTCAGGCCTCCCTGGTGGTGCAAGGGGTTAGGCTGCAGCACTATGACGCTATCCCCAGCTGCTGCAGAACGAGTTCGATCCCTGACTAGGGAGCTACCCCCACGGCACAGCAGACCTCTCCTGTCTCGCCCGCTGCTCCCCTCAGCAGTGTATTTCAGTAGATCTGCCTGATTTGCTCCCCACTCTGTCTCTGGTGAACCCTCTCACTCCCTGCACTTCTGGCCTGTACCCCAGTTCCTGTATGCATAAATAAATAAATCTTTAAAAAAAATAAAGGAAATTTAGCAAAACTTCTAATTCCATCCCTGGATACAGTGCTATTTCTAAATGCCTATTTCAAATTAAAATAAATAAGGAATTTAGGACGTCTACACTGGAGTCTCCATTATACACTGGGTGTGTTATTTTCTCCACTTTTCCATGTAAGAAAGTCAGCCTTAACCTGAATAACCGGACAGTGGCCTAAGGCATTGTTAGCCTGTCATGTTCGATGCTGTGTTTAGAACACAGGCTGTGAAAAAGCCCTGTCCACGTTGACAGCAGGGCCCTCTGCCTCTTGTCACACCAATCGTTATAACCAGAGGTAACTGGAGCCTGGTCTACACTCTGCAGAGATGCAGTAATCGGGCTGGGGGTCTCTGGGCAGGGAACTTCAAGGGCCTGACCAGGCCCCGGGGAAAAGTATTCCCTTCACCCAAGTCCAGGTGAGGCCGAACAGTCCACAAATGAATTTGGCAATTTATTCTTGGGAGGTAAGATGACCACATGAATATTAACACTCGGAACCCTATTCAAATGAAGTCGGGAAGCTAGAAGGGGTGTCCATTCTTGGGGGATGGACGTGGGGGGAATCAGCAAACTACAGGACCCGACATACCTTATCTCATGTGGCATGTGAGGTTTCCCCTTTGAGTGGAATGAAGAGGTGCTTTTGTTAGCCTTGGATTTGGGGATGTATTGGTATGTGGGTCTTGCCACGAACACTCTCCCATCTGCCCTCCTTTCTGTTGTTCCTGAACAGAACTGTTTTGTTGCTGGAATAACTGATGGCTTTTTGTTTGAGGTCACACCCACGATACCCAGCTCGCCAGGAGGCAGTGTCTTCCCCTTCCGCAGTGCAGGCCCCTATAGCCCCTTCACCCAAGCCCCCTCCAGCTGTGCCTCCTTCATCCACCCGAGCTGGGGCTGAACACCCGACAGTCCTACACTAACTCACGTGCATCTTGAGGGCCGAACCACATCGCTCACTTGGCAGAATGAGTGCAAAAGCTCCCTATTAAGTAAATGCCCCCTAGTTAGTCCAAATCAGAAGGGCAGCCAACAGCAGGGTTTGGACTCAGAAACACCCATCCGAAGCTCTGCTTAGTTGGATCATTTTGGGGAAAGAAAAGCACTTTCCAAAGCCTTGTCTTTTCTCAGTTGTACAAGGGAAACAATGATCTGAACAGGTTGTTTAGAAGACTGAATGTGGTAGGGTTTTTCAGGCAAGAGACTGGTTGGAATGAGGGCTTAGGCCTGCGAGAGCTCCTTTTTCCATTTTACTTAGATGGAAAGTTTCGGAAGAGTGGCTCTGGGAAGAACAGACGGTGGTTGAGGTTGGGACAGGGAAATGACAGGGACTGGCTCTGCTGACGTCAACAACCCCCTGGCAAGCTCGGGGTCCGCTGCAGACTTTTTGTGACATTTTCTGGAATGTGAACCACAAGTCCTAAGCTGTCACTGCTGGCCGCTCGAGGTGTGTTGTCACGGAATCACGTCCTGAGGTCTGGATCTGACCAGCTCTGCATGATACCTTGGACAGTCCCTTCCTTCTACACCTGGGTTCCCGGGAAAGCGGGGAGCAGTCACCTTTCTCACCAGTTCTGCGTCTCAGGCCATTTCATGTCTCGTTGCTTTGATTGCCCCAGTTGTAAAGTGATGGGTAAAGCACTGCCTTCCTGAACTAGAGAGATCAATCTAGAAGCCTAAGGGAGGTCAGGAATCCACTCAGCTTCACTCCAAACCACAGCGGACATCAGTGGCCCTGCGCACATCAGGAAAAGCACACTTTCATCAAAGTGGCAATGAATTCATTTCTTTGCTCGGGCCTGTGTGCAACACATTAAAAGTAAAATCCTCAGAGTCTGCACAGCTTTCTAAGGGGTGAATTTGCAACCAACACTGTGCAGGTGCTTTTTAGTTGTCTGTGCTGTGCCTTGGGTTTACTGCACAGACCCCTAATTATGCTCCGATCCTCAGCAGATGGATGAAGCAAAATAGCGTGCGTCCACAGTGACTTTCCTTCCCCGTCAACGAGAAACACAAACGCACGGCTCACAACTGAATGTCCTCTCTGAATCGAAACAAGAAATAAAATGCCCCAGTGCTGGAGGCGTCACAGAGGCTGGCTCTAAGGCACATGGACTTTGAGGTACCAGCGCTGCAGCCAAAGGGTGGCCACGTGCTTTATTGGGCATTGCGGCAAATAGCTCCTTCCCAGGGCACGTGGCACCCCAGGCAAGGCTGTTGGGTCCTGTTCACTGCCGGTTCTGCTCCCAGACCCAGCCTCCCTTAGCCTCAGTTTCCCCAACCTCAACATCTCAATTGACTTCTGTATTGTAATGTCCTGTCACCCATGGTTTCACTTTCCAAGGTTGCAGCTACCCGCATCCACCACAGTCCAAAAATACCATGTACAGTAAGATACTGAAGGAGGCCACAGCCACATAACTTTCATTATGTATATAGTTATAATTGTGCTATTTAATTATTAGTTACTAATAATCCCTTGCTATGTGTAACTTAGAAATGAAACTATTACAGGTATATATGTATTGTAAAAACATACAATCTGGGGCGTCCTGAATGTATCCCCGCTTGTGCCAGGCCCCCATGGAGGCAAGTCTGGTTGATCCTGACTCCGGGGCTTGTCCTCTGCCGGGAGCTCTAAGCCCTCAATGCCTTTGCTGAAGGGACAGATAGGTATTTTTTTAAAAACCTAAGGGGCCTCCCTGGTGGCACAAGGGGTTACAACACAACCTATGAAGCTGTCCACAGCCTCTGTAGCATGAGTTTGATCCCTGGTCAGGGTGCAGCCCACATGGCACAGCAGACCTCGCCTGACTCGCCTGCTGCTCCCCTCAGCAGTGTATTTCAGTCAGTCTGCCTGTTTTGCTCCCCACTCTGTCTCTGGTGAATCCTCTCACCCCCTGCACCTCTGGCCTGTACCCCAGTTCTTGTATGCATAAATAAATAAATCTTTTTTTTTAATATTTTATTTATTTGTATATAAGAACAGGGGTACAGGCCAGATGCGTGGGAGGGTGAGAGGATTCACCAGAGACAGAGTGGGGAGCAGAACAGGCAGACGACCGAAAACACTGCTGAGGGGAGCAGCGGGCGAGACAGGAGATGTCTGCCGTGCCATGTGGGATTCTTGCAGGCTGGCCAGGATTGAACCTGCACTGCAGAGGCTGCGGACAGCTTCACAGTGCGGCGCTCAACCGCCTGCGCCACTAGGGAGGCCCAAATAAATAAATTTTAAAAAAACCCCAATCTAACAGCTAGGCTGTCACCGAACTGCCTAAATGCTACTGAGACAAGGGGTCAAGACTTGAGGAAAGGAGATACTTGGCTCCCGCAGCCCTGTCCCCACAGAACACCAGCAGACAACACTCGGTCTGGAGCAACAAAAATGAAAAAGAAAGAGCAACAATCAGGATTTTCTTAGAAGTCTTATTACTCATCCTCTGAAAAAGCTGTCAAAACACTGAACCTTCCCTTGTTCCCCACACAAATGCTGTTTTAGCAGCTGTTCTAGTCAAGCTATTTCGGGGGTTAAACAATCTTTGATCTCCTGAGATAAAGAAATCAAATTTTGGTCCTTGAAATAACTCTTGTCTCCATCTACCTGTGAGTCTGGAGGCATCTTGTAATAGAAAAGTGTGGTTTTCAGGGAAACGCAGAAAACATTCTGCAAAACTGGTACACGCAGGCTCTGCACGTGGGGTGGGCACCAAAGGGGTGGGGCCCCCGGAGGATTGTGTCCACTGAGGAGAGTGCTGGACACATAGGAACAAGCCTGTCACGACACTCAACCCACCCCGATGGCCTGGGGTAATTCAGCACCTCAATGCACAAAGCTAGACGTCAAGCAGCCTCCCCGATACCCAGATTCCAGGGGCCCTGCACCCCTCAGGAGGGGGCTGGCCTCTACAGAGACCAGGCCAGAGCGGCCAGCAGAGGGAACTCACCCTGTCCTGATAGGGGAAGGGTGACCCTCCACTCAGAGAGTGCGGTGTGTGGTAAGATCATTGTTTAACGAACCACAGGCCTCCCTCCTGTATGTCACTTTATTGTGCTCTTTACAAAAAACAAATTGAAATTCAGCGGCAGCCCTGGCTGGAGCAGGTCTGTCGACATCATTTTTCCAACAGCACCTGCTCCCATGGGTGCCCCCGTCACATTTGGCTGAGGTAGGCCCAGTGGTCACTTAGACCTCGCGCTACTGCACACCTCACAGACGGCAGTGCAGTGCGGTACAAGCGTGACTTCCAGACGCACCGGGAAACCAAAAGTTCACGTGACTGTCTTTCTTGAGATACCCGCTCATGGCAGGGGTCTGGAACTGAGCCCCAATCTCTCAGAGACGTTCGTGTATTTCAAAACCACAGAAGGTTCTGGAGATTACAGAAGGCACATAATCACAGCTCTGACTTTAACATTTGCCCTTATCTGCTTAGAGCTGGTTTTTTTTAAAAGACAGGAAATGTAA